GGCAACCGTTTTTGACGGAATTAGTTCGGTGATGGATGAAGTGCAACTTTATTAAGTTCAGTAAGTAATGAGATGCAACTTAAAGTTCAGTTAGTGAAATACGACACTTTGTAAAGTTCAGTGACAGTTGAAACAATTAACTCATATATATAGTAAAGCCAACAAAGAACCGAAAACATCAAGCCAGACCGCAACCGACCAATAGACCAAAGCATGGTCCTAACCGGCTCCACCCCAGGCCCCTGGAGAGTAGGGCATGGCAGTCAGGAGGGCTTTTGAAACCCGAAAAGCTTTCCTCGTAAGGAAAAAAGGCCGTCATCTCTTATCCTTTACTGTTTATACAAACCAACACAAAACATCACTAAACCACACATTCGAAACAGCTCTATTAGGCAAAAGCAGCCCAGTGCTCAATCTCTCGTTTGGATAAATAGTTTTGTACACGGAATCCTCTCAAACAGTGAAAGCTAGTTCAAGTTTTCACTTTTCACCATAGAACACCAAATAAACTGCCTTTACTGGTTTATCCAATTACTCCACGAAGGTTTCAATCAAGGTATGGCCGTTGACATTTTTTTGTTGTTCCTACAATAATGTCATACGCCATTCCTTCCTGCAGAACAAAATTGAATTGAGACCCTGTAAATTGATGAAGGTGAGAAGATAATGAGATCTAGCAATGAACCGTGCAAAGTGGAGAGAAAGGATTAATATAGTCAGACTCCAAAAAATATAGAAGTTATTGTTGTGCAGAGAAAGGATTCATATAGTCAGACTCCAAAAAATATAGAAGTTATTGTTGCACAACAACGGCCCGAAAACAAAACTGATCACATTTATAATTCTTTGCTGTTATCCCTGGCGTACCTTTGATCCTTTGAGCGAGAGCCCTTCCACATAGGACTCCCGGTTCAATATCATCCCACACTTAATAGCAATATATAATTTTGATGAAGCACTCAAAGAAGACATATTTATTTTCTCTCTAGAAATAGAACATTCAGAAGATGAAAAGTAGAAATAGGTTCAGTGTTGCATTCTTAAATCAATAGTTCAACACTCTAATACTATATAACAGCTGAGTGTTTAAATTAATTCATCTTCGTTTGGTCAATATTTTTTTGCACCATGTTATCAGTTAGTCTAGTAAAGTGTACTGAAGTTTTATTGTCTATTAATATGGAAATGATATTGTTGACCCCAAAAAATGTGGCCAGCAGATGTCGGGCCCACTCGTGCACACGCGAGCTTGATCCGACATGCTAATGCCGATCAACGGTCAAGATGGCTCCAGAAAATGGGCATGGGAGTGGCTCAAAGGCACAAGACGTTTCCGTTCAGGCTTCCGGCAAGAAGTGTGACACNGATCAACGGTCAAGATGGCTCCAGAAAATGGGCATGGGAGTGGCTCAAAGGCACAAGACGTTTCCGTTCAGGCTTCCGGCAAGAAGTGTGACACGATTGTATAAGAAACCAATCGATGAAGAACGATTTGTGTTAGAAAATATGCTGTAAGAATCACTGCTGAAACGAGAGAAATGTTGCTCCAAGTATTCAGTATTCTTTATATTTGGTATGAGAAGTTTCATTACCCTTTTTGTATTACATGTTAGGGTATTTATAGTATTACAAGTCGAATAATGACCTTTGGAGCAATTTACACGTGGCCTCATCTCCTCAGTCAAAACATCAAATTCTAACCACCAAGTTGACTCTCCTAGCCTTACAAAGCATTAAATGTTCTTACACTGACTAGATAAGACAGAGTTTACTTTATACAAAAGTCACGTCAATCATTCACACGGATCTTTCATCATTGCAGTATCTTTCCATGTGGTCTTCTTCCACGCGAGGCTTGGGTCTGGGATGACAGTGAAGGCATAGGAACTGTTTTGAGGGCCTCGGAACAATAGTCAGGGCCTCGGAATCCACATCAGAGGCTAAGAGAACATATCCTGGCCTAAGTAAACTGGTCCCACCACTGAAATATGGTGCCACGTGTCGCTTCTATATTATGACTCGTAACAGATATCCTTTCTATTAAGCCTATTGATAAGTGTGTTTTCACATACTTATTCATGCTTTTAGACTTATAAATTATAGTTAATTGAACGGATTTATACCTAATGTAGCGTAATTCTATTAATTGAAGGAAAAAACCGAACTTAAATGTAATTGGCATGAAAAATGATGATTTTGAGATAATTCGGAGTTGGTTCTATGCAATTAAAGATTAATCGGAAGGCATGGGAATGATTAAAAGTAAAAAAGAGAGCCATTGAAAGAAAATCGCAAATTTTGAAGTGAAATTCAATTTTTGATGACTACATTGCACACTTAAGAAACTTGAAAAGAACCGATACGCCCGCAGGTTTTTTTGGAAATTACATAGAACTGTATTTTTCAAATTTCAAAAATCAGATTTAAAGTTTGCTAAAAAAAAAAATCGGATAATAATTCCATATTTTAATTAATAATATTATTATACAATTAAATTAAACTATATACCCCGCGTTTACGTCCTTCCACCCTACCGAAATTTTCAAACTCTAATCATTTTTTTACTTTTCCTCTCTCTCTATATTTCCATTCTCTCATTTCTTTGCCACACACCACCACCCGAGCATCGTCACGCTGGGGCTCACAACGCCTTCGATCGATCGACATCTTCGATTTGCGGTCACCAAAGGAAAAATTAAGTGTCGACATGCAGCAACACGAAGTGTAGCGAGACGCTTCCCTTGTTTGCACTTCGCCTCTGTTCGTGTGAGGCAGCGCTATCGATGTTCGCATTGAGCCATTGTTCGAGAGGCACACCTCATCAGCGTCCGCAGCTGCAGCAGCGACTAGCACTGCAGTTCACAATAGCGTCAGAAGCTGCCTCTAGTCTCAAGACGGAAATGATTTGGCTACCGTTGTTTTTGGTTTGCCCGTTGTTTTTTATTTTGATTTTGTCTTTAGTGGTGGTGGCGGTAGTGATGGTCGTAGTGTTATTGGCGACGGGGTGTGTGGTGGATCGACGGTTGGGGTGGCTTTTGTTGGATCACGTGATGGCAGTGGTGGTTTTGTTGTTGGAAATGGTGGTTTGTTGATGGTTGTGGAGAGGTGATGGTGATTTTGAAGTTGAAAATTGTAGTTTATTGGATATGGTGGCAGTGGTGGAGTAGCGTTGCTTTTAGTTGGCGCCAGGGTGGATTGGGGTTGGTGAGGTAGGTGGTGGAATTAAGAGTGTTTGTGACTAATTATTTGAGATTGTGACCAATTAATTAGATATTTGTTACCAATAAATAATATTCGACCAATAACTTGTGATCAATAAATAATATGTAACCTAAAAATTTTGAGGTATCACTAATAAAATTTGTGATTTATGATCAATAAATAAAATGTCACCTACAAATTTTTTGATTTGTGACCGATGAATAAATTATGACCTGTAAACTTTTTGATCGGTGGTCTATAAAAACATTTAAGTGATCGAGAAATAATTCGTGACCAAATAATTCGATAATTTGTGGTCAAACAGTACAAAATTGTGGTCTTAATATATTTAATTATTTATTTCATAAATAAATTTTAATTAATATCTCTTAGATATGAAAATTTTCCCCTTTTTCGATTTGTTTTGACTCATTTTCTAAGTATAATTCCCAAAATTTTTTCTCCTATATAAATATATATTGTTTAGATCACAAAAAAGATGTTACATCATGTTTTCCTCTTGAATTCAAATAGAAAATAGTTTGTGAAAATAGTATCTTCAAATTTGTTACTTTTTCGGTCACAGTTTTTCCAACACACGTGGCACCTGCCTTGAGCATATCCAAAACAGCCGGAGCAGTTGATACAGCAGCAGAATGCGTACTCGCCCAATCCGGATTCCCAAAACCAGTAACATACCCCTCCACATCAAATCTGGAGAGAAAATTGTTAATTATTTTGAAATAAAAAAGCACATATTATTAAAAGCTGTCCAAGAGACTGACATATCTTTGACAGCAAAGATGAGTCCAGTTAACGGAAGTTGATGAGATGAAGGAGGAGGTTGCAGAGTGAATTTTTCCGTGTAAGCTCCATAATCTGACGAATTCCTCGCCATTACAGAGGTTTGGCAGTTCATCTGCTAAATATCTTATCTAAAATAGAGGACTGCAGAGTTAAAAAGGTCCAAATGTCGGCTACTTGTAACTGTATGTTTGGCTAAGCTTAACAAGTTTATTATTTATGTAAATTTGAAAATATAAAGGTGAGAGTTACTTTTTCAAAGGATAAAAAAAAAAAAAAGACCGTACTACTCTACCAGATTGGTACAAAATCTGGTAGAGCCAATGAGTCATGGGGGGAAGGGTGGGTGATAAAACATTTGGAGGGGGGTGGCATGTGAGGCAACCACTCTACCAGGCTTTTTACAAGTAGAGTAGTTTAATTCTAAAAAAAAAACGTAAAAGGTGGGACGAATGAAATTTCTAGACATGTTCAAAGAAAAGCTTTAAGGTCCGTTTGATTAGTTTCGATTCCATGAAAAATGTCATATTCGAAAAATTCAATTTCTATTTTGGTTGTTTGATATGAAAGTGAAAATGAATTTCGAATTTCTATAGGTTTGTAAATTTTTATTTTCCAACAAATATGGAATTGAAATTCCTTTCCACATTTGTCTATCAAACGGATCCTTAAAGAAGTTTTCCTACACTGTCATAGGGATTGTTCAGCAAAGCTTTTAGACATAAATTTTGACAGATTTTATAAAAGTTAATAAAATATGATGTTAAAAAATTGATAAAAATTATGAATATGATAAAATGTGCGATTAAATTAATTATTGACTTTAAATCAAATTTTTAACCACTTTTTTAGTTTTCCAATGATTAAAATAATGAATCCGATAAAATGTGCGATTAAATTAATTATTGACTTTTAATCAAATGTTTATCCACTTTTTTAGTTTTCCAAACAAACCCTCCATTTGTATAACGTTCATAGTGCTATAAAGTTAAAACCTACATTTATAGAAAAGTAAGGTGTACCTTAAAATTTATATTTTTGAAATAAAAAATTTTAAAAATAAGTTTAATTTATTTTTAATTACGATTGAATATATTCTCCACCAAATTTTCAGTCACTAGAAGGGAAGGAGGTCAGGTTCTACTGAACTTGCATAGCTTTTCTTTTCCTCAGATTGGTCAAGTGCTCTCGAGATACACATAACAAAGAGTGACAATAGCATATATAAAGCCAACAAAGAACCAAAATCGTCAAGCCAGACCACAACCTACCAAAAGAGCAAAGCATGGTCCTAACCGGCACCACCCCAAGCCCACGGAGGGTGGGGCATGGCAGGCAGGCTTTCGAAACCTGAAAAGCTTTCCTTGTAAGAAAAAAAGGTTGTCGTCTCTCATCCTTTACTGTTTATAAAAACCAACACAAAACATCACTAAACCACACATTCAAAACAACTCTCTTAGGTGAAGCAGCCCAATGCTCAATCTCTCCGTTTGGATAAATAGTTTGTACACGGAATCCTCTCAAACAGTGAAAGCTAGTTCAAGTTTTCACCATAGAACATCAAATAAACTGCCTTTACTGGTTTATCCAATTACTCCACGAAGGTTTCAATCAAGGTATGGCCGTTGACAATTTTTGTTGTTCCTACAATAATGTCATACGCCATTCCTTCCTGCAGAACAAAATTGAATTGAGACAATGTAAATTGATGAAGGTGAGAAGATAATGAGATCTAGCAATGAAACGTGCGAAGTGGAGAAAAAGGATTCATATAGTCAGACTCCAAAGAATATAGAAGATACTGTTGCACAGCAACGACCCAAAAACAAAACTGATCACATTTTATAATTCTTTGAACAAGCCTGTTATCCCCGGCATACCTTTGATCCGTTGAGCGAGAGCCCTTCCACACAGGACTCCGGGTTCAATATCATCCCACACTTAATAACAATATATAATTCTGATGAAGCACTCAAAGAAGACACTGTATATGACAAAAGATCTATTTTCTCTCTAGAAATAAAACATTCAGAAGATGAAAAGTAGATATAGGTTCAGTGTTGCATTCTTAAATCAATAGTTCAACACTCTAATACTATATAACAACTGACATTATTAAGTGCTTGAAAGAAAGAAACGAAGAACGTAAGATTTCATACAATTTTAACAGAATACCTGGGAACTCAGGAAACGAAGTGCGGAGATCTCTGCAAATGTTACCCCACCAATGAAAACTACAAGGACTAAAGATCTCCTCCCATCTGCAACTCTGAAATATGGAGAAGGCAATAGCTTGAAGCACATGAATACAAGCTTTTGCACCTCTATTATGGACATCAAACTTATGGTAATTGATCACAAATACAAAAATTAAAATAAATAAAAAATAAAGAAATGCACGTTTGATTGATAGATCCATTCTGAAAATTAGATGAAAATAACAGGGAAATATAGCCTTCGCAGAAGACATGGCATTGAGAACTAGACAGGAAAAAAATTTCTTTCCAAAATAATGCAACATTGACACTGATATTCCTAAAAGCAATCTTTCTTGTAATTTCAACTATGATGCACCGACACGGGCACGGATACGCCGACAGGCTATTTTAAAAAAAAAATACAGACAAGATACGTCATCGACACGTTGATTAAATTCTTAAAAATTCTTCATTTATTTAGTATAAATTTAGTTTTATACTTGTTATAAATTTTTCTTGTTAAAATCTTTTAAACGTGAGTACCTATTTGTTATGTGTCCGAGAAGTGTCGGCATCGACTCGTGTCCGACACGGACACGCTACCCTAATTGAAATGTCTATGCTACAGAGAATTTGGAAAATATAATCTCTAATCACTCGATGTCAAGTGAGTGACCATGAATCTAATTACAAGATAAAAAGGGCCAAAAAAACAAAGGCACACATGGGAAGGTATCTTGATAAAACAAGCAGAAATATTAGAAAACGGTACTTCTCTAAATTGTTCAGAGATCCTGGTATTGTGTCAAATGACGGACTGCTAGCGAATCCACTCTGTATAAGCAGATCGACGTCAGTATCAACCATAATACAATGCCACCTGACAATAAATAAGAGAACAGAAAAAAAAAGGAAGATTGATGAAAATCTATACTGACTTTCTTGGTTTCCGAGTGAGGCCCAGGCAGCAGCTTCAAAATTTCTTCAATTGGGCGCCTGCAGCATTACATTCACCGTGTCATAAAGAATATAAATCAGTTAAAGACTTAGAATTCTTCAAATTGCAAAGATTAAAAGGGGAAAAAAAAATCGAGATGCATCCACAACAGAAAATTTTGAAATTAAAATTGAACTCCATCTGACTTGCAAGTAAATTGATAGATAAAGAACTTCATAATTAACTGGAACACCAGAATAGAATTTGATATTCAGATATTAACATTCCTCTTTTTTCTGCTTAAACGAGATTGACAGGATGCAACACTTAAATGAGAAGATAGCATTCATTCCAGATAAATATATAATTTTTCTTCAATTTGAAAAGATTCTCAACAGAACTTCCAGATTGTGCACATCAATTAGGTGTCTCCCAACTCAAGTCAGTTAGCAGATGAACTTTCCTTGCCAACAGAGAACATAGTATGCTAACACAAGCAAAGTACGAACTATCAACAATGATTGTAGTGAATAACTAAAGCTCGAATAAGTCACCTCAACCCCACCTCCTTTCCAGGAAAAAAAAAAAAGAGCTACGCTTTGCTTGCTTAATTATTCATTGAAAAAATGGATTCAAATCCATTTCTCTCCCCCATTAGTAACTTCCCAGTCTTTTGAAAACCCAGTGACATGGAATGGGGGAGAGAGAGAGAGAGAGAGAGAGAGAGAGATAAAAAAGAAAAACTCTTTTTGTTTATTCATCAACATTCATCATTTCATTTTAAAGCATTTATTTAAAAATCTGAAGACCCATCAAATGTGAAAGCATTCAAATTACACAGCTCTCAAATGGTATAATATTTGTTGACCTCCAAATCTAAATGTGACCCAATCGTCAATGTGTCACGACTCCTCTCTCCTCTACGTGCATGTTACCTGCATACTTGGACACACATTAGAGGCACAAGAACAAGTCTTCTCCAAGGAAAGGGGAGAAGCCATGATCGTGTGCACTCCAACACTAAAGTCAATAGATAATTTGAAGTGGGAAAAACAAGGAGAGAGGAGAGAAACGCTATAGTCGGGTTTAAATTTCTAGATAAAAAAAACCACATGTCAAACACAATGCGTGAGACTATATGGTAAAAACGATGGAGCTCAAAACTTTCGGCTGATTGAAACTTGGCTTCGTCCCAAATACTCACATGTATTATTTTAAAAACTGGCCCGGCGTGGACAGTCTGGCCGAAAACTCGATGACTTGAGCCCTAAACTAAGTCAAGTGGATAAAATGATCCAAATGCAATTGGCCAAGTCAAAGCCCGGATCAATCGACAGTTTCTGAATTAAAAACCGGCCCGATTGACCAATTTTTTACCAGGCATCAAAATTTTTAAGTGAAATTTTAGGTTGTAAGGAATTGAACCTTCAACCTCCACCTAAGAAGAACATCAGCCAAACCACTTGAACCTAACAACAATTTGTTATTTTTTTGTGTAATAAGCTATATCTAATTCATAAACATTTATTTTTTTAAAAATATTATAGTTCAACATTTTATTTCATTTTGTAATACCAAATAATTATTTAATAGATTTCTTATGTATGAAAAAAAAAATTTAATTAAGATGAATTGAATATTTAATACACATAGATTATTGGTTGATTACCAATAAATAGTTTATGAATAATAAAAATGGAAATAATATAATTTTTTAAATATCATATACAAAATTATAATATCAAAACGTAACCACTATTACTAATAAATGAGTTCCAAAAATCAATAATTTAAAGATACAAAAATTATTAATGACAAATAACTTTAAAACTTCAATTTTATCAAAAAGAAAAAAAATTACGCATAATTTTTTTTCAAATAATTTCAAAAAAATGGCCCAACGGTCCAACCAGGAACCCCGATGACTCAATACCTAGTCGGGTCGATGCTTGGGTCTAATAACAATACTCACATGTGAAGCTCAATGCTATCAAACAATAGTCATTATATGTTCGAGACCTCCCTACCATTTGACTACCAGCAACCTTTACAGAGATGTCACATCAAGTTCAAATGGCCAAAGGTGTAAGATTGCAACTTGCATGAGGTATCGAGATCTTGACCTCGACTAATTCGAACCAAATAAGCCCATTTCACATGGCCAAGGATCGAGTCTCCCTGTTACCTCAAATTAGAGATGGAAACGCAATGATAGGGTACATGAGGTGGATGGCTCCCCTAACAAAGCATAATACAATAGAGAGCCTCGAATGGTTGTACGGGCTTGCTAAGGTGTTTGGCCTCCTATTTTGAGATGATCAATGTAGATCATAGGTTAAGGATAACACCTCTATACATTAGGTGGATGGCTCCCCTATAATAGTATAATTGTCTCGAGAGGCTCTGAAGGTGATCTTTCTCAAAGGTATGTGACCTCTCATTCTGAGGTGATCAATGTAGAATATAGATTAACGATAAAATCCTTTATTCATGTGGTTGATTGCTCCTCTATCATAGTATAATTGCCTAGGAAGGTTTTGAGGGCAACCCTTCTTTGAGGTGTTTGGCCTCCCATTCTGACGTAATCAATGTAGAAAATAGGTTAAAGATGGCATCCCCTATACATGAAGAGGATGGCTACCCTATCATGAAGTAATTTTGTTGAGGCAATCGTTGTAATGGATAGGTTAAGGATGCGAGTCCCTTTCTCCTAGGTGATTAGATCCCCTTTCTTAGCTTAGTTTAGTTACATGTACGACTCGGACACAACCTTTTTCATGACGTTTCTAGGTCCTCTTCCTAGCAAATTTTGTTTTATTCCAAATCATAAACTCATCCCTTCTCTGAGGTGCTTCGAATTCATTGGACGATTCAAGTATTGACCTCGCAGGCTCTCTTGTCGAGGTAGTGAATATGTAGAGTAACACTAACATGTGGCCTTTGGGCTTAAATCAATTTTCACTAAATTGCATGAAGAGTATATACATATTGGGAAATGACATCCAACATCAAGCTGGATCAAATGAGCGAGGACTTAAAGCTATCTCAACAATAAGATCATTATGAATCAATCTCTAGATCTCTACATTGAGGTCACACTTCAAAGCCCTCACAGTTTCAGAGTCAGACGGTTAATCACCTCATCACTAAAGGGTGTCAAATAACTTCTCAGCAAATCGCCTTCCCCTTGCCTCATATTGCGGAGGCGGTTATGGTCCTCGACAACCTTATCAGATTCGCCATTTCTAACATCTCCAAAGGAGCCCTCAAGTCAACGCCACTTTTTTGAAGGCCCAAAAAATCTTCCACCTCATTTTCATGGAGGCCTGAAAACACTTTCTTCTTTCTCAAGAGCAAGGCCTTAAGGAAGACCAAAAACAAAAAAGCTTTTCTTCAAGAGTAAGACCTTGGGAGGCCAAAAATACTTGCTTTGTTTCTTTTTCAAGAAAGCCCGGAGAGAGGCAAGTGAAACTACTTCTTTATCAAGAAGGAAAACTTAGGAGAGACCATAAAATGCCTCTCCTTTCTTCAAGGAGGCCTGAAAACCTTTTCGAATAGACTTTTCTGCTTACATTTTGCTTGTGGTTAAAAGTATTATTTCCTACAAACGACGTCAGTGACTGGATGGACCCGGTGGTCAACAAACCTCAACTCCTCTCTCCTTTACGTATGCAGTACCGGCACACTTGAACATACACGTTAACAGGCATAAGATCGAGTCTTCCCCAAGAAACAAGGGAGGTCACGATCATGCCCACTCCAACGATCAAGTCAATAAAGGGATGGATAATTTGGTGAGTGAGAAACATGAACAAAGGAGAAATCCAAAAGTCAAGTTTAGATTTCTAGAGTGAGAAATACCGAATATCAATTACGTTCAAATAGCAAATGGCAGAATGTAACAGCTAAAAGAAATGAAGTTGAAGTCCTTTTGAAAGCTTGACACGTGACTTCATCCGGTCCAACAGCTCACATGTCAAGCTCGATGGTGTCACATAATAGCCATCACAAGCATGTAACCTCTGACACAGGATTTGACTACATCCTCCATTGCAGAAATGTTACATAGATCAAATCACACTAGCTCAAGGTATCAAATTGCAACTTGCACAAGGCATCGAGGTCTTGACCTCAACTGCTTCAAAGAGGTCCATTTCACAGGGCCTAGGGTCAGGATTCCCGATCGGCTCGCATTAGAGGAGGGATAGCAATGATGAGATGCATCACTTCGGAGAGGCATAGGGGGGCCCGGAGAGGCTGTGAAACCCGCTTGCTTGGCTAGCATTCAGGTAGCATGTCACCTATTACTAGAACCTGTGGTTCTTTTGGCATATCTGTGGACCAAGGCTTTTGGTGATTTCTTTGGGATAACACCCGGTGATTTTCATAAGTAGATCAATTTATCACAATAATAACAAAATTATAGCAAAACAAAACATTGCTGCTTTTCTCGATTAATTCAGCTATCAATGAAGAGGATGACAAATCAAATCAAATCACTTGAACTTTGAACCAACCAAAAGAAAAATTCTTCACCAACATAAATAACAAGAACATGATTAAGAACTCTAGTTTAAGCACCAAACAAACATATTAACATAGATAATTTAGAGAAGTAGGCTCACCATCCAGATCGTATAGCATGCTGAACAAGGCGAATGCTGAGAGGTGCGTATCCAGAGAACACATAGGAAATATCATTTGGACTGTTCATGGATAAATCCAACAGTTAGATGAAAGGAACATCAAATAAACAAATAGTGGAGCACTAACTTTTACAGTTAAACAGTCAGATAAATCATAACAGTGCTTCTATTTCCTAGTGCCACTGGAAGCCTTTGAAAATAATAAAATACAGGTTCTTTACGTTAAGTAAAGTTAATAGGTCCTTCAGTTGCTCTCTCTCAACAGAGCCAGAGTCAGCACTGTACAAGAGGTATAATTTAGGAGCAATGTGTTAAAGGCTATGCTACACAGACTCTCTAGCCTTAATTCCCAAAACCTTTAAAGCATCAATTAATAAAACCATGCTTGCTATTAAGGCACATTATCTGAAAATACAGCTCCTGTGCTCAAACCACATCAATTCTCATCCCAAGGGCTAACATAATTTATTATCGAGAATTACATCACCCTCGCAACTTATTTGGATACTGAGGACCAAGTCCATGTACAAAGTAATGTCCGCAGTCATTCCCAGCTAAGGCTCAACCTAGACTAATCAGGTTGTTAGAAGAGTTTAGTGACCCACTCACTAAAAGAAATAATCCCAAGTTGACAATAACTAATACTAAGCCTCTGAGAACAGACCATAATTAAATCTAAACATAATCGTGCATTACATAGTAGTCCAATAGAAAGAAGGTTGATCTTCAGATTTCTCTCTTATAGCTCTTATTTTCTTCACAGATCTTTTAAAGGACAGGCATAATAGACACTTTTTCAAGAACACAATCAACAAAATATTGTTAAATACCTAAACGTCAGTGGTAAGCAATTCCACATTAGTGGACCAATACTTTTTACCTAATACCTAATATTACATTCTCCCAAAATAAACAGGAAGAAAAACAATACTTAGTGGTGTCTGTGTCCTCAACTACAAGTTGCAAAGCACGTTTGACTGTCAGCCAATTGCTCTTTGAGTCCTGCAAGCCATAAATAGAATAATTAGCTTCGTCAAAAAGGTTTTTTTCAACTTGATTAAGTGGAGCAGCACTCAAAGAGAGCAATGTCAACTCGACCTGTTTTCTGAACAACCCAGCTTTTTCCAAGTTATTCAAGGTAGCAATATGCTCAAAACCATAGCTGTGAAGAAGCTCTCTCCTAATTCAAGAGGATGAAAGCTGATTTCAAAATTTCTCAAAAGATGATACCTATATCAATCAGAGGAATACAGTCTTGAGAAAATAAAAATCAAATGGTTAATCCGACTTGCCTCAAATAGTCAAAATTCTTTTTTGGCAACCCCGAATTTGTTATTGAAAACAAGACCAGAAGACGTAAGACATTAATAAGAGGTTCCTGCTTATGAATCATTTCTTCGATGTACTCAAAGCATCTGCATCCATAGTAGCATTATTTCATACTTCAGTACACTCAAAAGAGATATATTTATAACAGTACTTGACAATAAGCATTGGTATTCAAAAAGATAGCATGCAGAGCAGAAGCTCAATTTTATACTTAATGGGCAGTGAAACCTTTATAGACCTATGTTAGCAATCATGTTTTATTGCCAAGGGTCTCGGAAGGAAGTTGACCCCAGCAATTCGACACTCTTCTGATTGACAACAAACACCTCTTGCCATGAGTAATCAAATTTAAACTTTTAATGCATGTGGAAATGATTTAATTGACAACTGAAGTTTAGTGTCCAATAAATATGGAGATCAAAAAAAAATCTTAATTTAGAAGTCACTACTGAGTAAATTCCATCTCTAAGTATCGGTCTGTGCGGGTAAGCTGAATTAGGAAAGCAATATAACAATAATGATCGTGATTACTTTTAAGCTGCACATGCATTGAAAGCACGTATCTAGTTTCTAAAAAATTCCATACAAATGCTCATCAGGAGGGTACATAAATAAATACATTAGAGCAGTAAAAGTTGAACAAGGCCTACACATCATAGCTCTGGGCCTCCACGAGTGTTTGTTCCATATCAAGGCGTCCAAGAAATGATGGTTTTGATGTAAATGTAGACAAATGCTGCGCCAGATTTATGTGCCTCTGAAGAGACAATGAGGCCGACTATTTAGTGCTAACACAGGTAATAATTTTTAAATCAATATAATTTGAAAGGAAACTTACAGTCATTTCTGGCAATGAGTTAAGCTTCTTTACAAAGTCCTTCAATTCAGAGACAGACTGAGTCTGTATGAAATACATGGAACCCAATCAGAACTCATTTCAGGTACTATAGCTGGTTTTGTATTACAAATAATATTCAGATTTAATCAGAAAATGGCCGGAGAAACTTTCTTAAAAGCTCTATTTACATGACCCTAAATAATCATCAGGCATTGGAGGCAAAAATGAAAATGTCAAAGGTACATTTGTTAGTAACTCACAGTGGTTGAAATCTCTGTGTAGTCCTGCTTCATGGATGTTGCTTTTTGACGTAGAACCTGCAACATGCCATCAATAGTAAATATAAAAAGCTTCAAAGACAAAATAAATAAAGGTCAGACAGAATAAAAACTGAAGATGCTGTACACATTAATTAAAAATAAATTATTTATCAAACCATAAATAGATCAACCTGGACAACAACTTCAAAATTCATATCCCTTATTTCTTTGAACAGTTTGTCACTACAGTAAAGACAACGTAAATAGTTAGTCAACGTGGAACATCTAAAAGCAGAGAATGATCACACACTGTGTACATGAACACCGTTACACCACACACGCATGGTTATTGGAAACGAATGTCCAGAAGAACAACTATTACTCCCATATTAAGGGAATGAATTATACTTCCATGAACTGGTTATGCTAAATGAGCCTGCTGTAGTAGATGGAACAGCATGGTCCAAGAAAAAACAAGACTAAACACTGCTTCCCAGTGGATGAGGTATGGGCAGACAAGATCCTTAGCTCAATCACCTTATTAACAGATAAAAAGTTTAAAGGAAAAGAAAGGGAAGGATTATAGATAAGGCCTACTGTAACTGGAAAAGAAATGAATGTATATTAGTGATTCTGGCAGTATAGATATTTTAATAAACCTTGTGGACCAGTAGAAACCACATCTATAAGAGACTCAACGAAGAACAATAAGAAATGAGAAGACCAGCTATAAAATGTGCACGAAAGAAGCACTTAAATACAGAAATGCATAAACAATTAAATGTGCCTTAAAATCCAAAAAATGAATTGGTTATCGTTGGGCCATTGGCAAACTAAAAATTCTAAATATAATATGTTTTAATATTAAAGACATGCTTTACCTAGAATTGAGGGGAACCTTTAACTTTTTCCCTTCTTGTTGAACGCCCATAATGGAAGAATCTAGCTCCACAGCACCATTGTTGACGCCAAGAAACTGCATCAAACCTATTAGAGATAGCTTATGACAAATCAAAGCAGGAAAAAACAGAGAACAACTTCTATCATCTATATTGACTAATAAGTTTTAAAATAGCTCAAGCATTAATGCTTATGTTCATTAAAATTTTAAGTCTCTGACTAAAAAGTGTAATATTTATAATTAAATCTCTAATTAACCAGGCTAGCTCAGCACCACGTGATTTTCTAAAAGTTTAGTCTATCATGTGACAGATAGACAAGTTTGTCAACTATCTGCGAATATGTAGATTAATCATAGTCATTCTTTTTCTTACATATTCATTTGTACCTCATCTAGTAGTCCCTCATATGTTAACTGAGAACACATGGGAGTAACCATGTCCACCTGCAATACGATTGCAGCAAATTTGATATCACAAAGACTGATGTACATATTGATCAGTGTACAAAAATATCTTTGAAGTCGTAATTTAAATAAATAAATAAGTTTGTTCCCTCTCTAACAACTTAATGGATCAACATGATATTAGAGCAAGCACATATCTTGAGTTCAAATCTCACTTCCCACCATTTATGAAAACAATGGGCACGTGTTAGGCTTTTGATTAAAAGAAAATAAATGTGTAATTTTGAAAAAGTAAGGTTGTCTCTCTAACATCTTAAGCTTTTAGACAAGTTGGATTAACAAATATATGACTTATGAGCATAAAACATGCTGAGAAATTACTATCTTCTAGACGTCATAAGCATCCAAAAACATCATAAGAGAAATTTTAATGATCCGTATTTCAACAATAGATTCTGTTTCAATACAGAACATGCGAGCCTGGTTTTCTGATAAAAAAACTCAGATATTTACTGCAATGGCATTTTCACTCGGGTGGTCTCCGGCCAAAACGGTGATACTAAATCCCAGAACATTTCATCTTAAAGGAAATCCAACAGAGGATCATAAAAAGAGAGTAAATATAGAAACAAGAAACAATACAAAAATAAGTCAAGGCATTGAGTAGACATCGTGAAAACATTGTCAGCGGAGAAGAAAGGCAATAGATGGCAGAAGGCAAGTTCACAATGCTATTCAAGGCATAGAAGATGCTTATACAGCTCAAAATTTGACTTAGCAAAGGTTGGAGGATTGGGAGGCCACTGGTTTCTCTATGCCCGGGCACTATAACTTCAATCCATGAAAAAAAAGGCACAAGGGTAGCCTATTGGAAAGCCTTCCTAGGTCGGACGAAAAATCCGTTATAGAATGGCTTCAGTTTTAGCTGCAATATGGCTGGCTTTTTTGAGAGATGGGACCTTGATAATCTACTTATTCTCTCCCTCTTCTGGAGTTAATTGTTTCAACGGTCACTGAACTTTACAAAGTATCACGTTCACTAACTGAACTTTAAGTTGCATCCCATCACTCACTGAACTTAGTAAAGTTGCACTTCATCCATCACCGGGCTAATTCCGTCAAAACCAGTTGCCTCGTGGATGACGGTTTGCACATGTGGCCTTTAAATTACTCCAGCTGGCCATTAATCAGTCATATCATAAATTCTCAATACCCAAACACGTTTCACCCAATTTGATCTCTGAAATCAGCCTGCTCGACCGCCGCCTCCGTCATAGGTGGAGCTGGAGCCGACATCATGAATTCGAGTTTCTCGTCCCATTGAGGGTTGATATCCTAAAAAATGGTCTTAGTACGTCTCCGTTGGCCGTCGGAATCCACAATCACATATGCACTAGCCGTGCCTTAGTCGTCTTTAGGCATGAGATCAAATTGGGTGAGACGTGTTTGGATGTTGGGAATTTATGACATGGCTGATTAATGGCCGCTTGAGTAATTTAACGGTCACGTGTGCAAACTGTCATCCACGTAGGTAACCGGTTTTGACGGAATTAGCCCGGTGATGGATGGAGTGCAACTTTACTAAGTTCAGTGAGTGATGGGATGCAACTTAAAGTTCAGTTAGTGAAACGTAACACTTTTTAAAGTTCAGTGACAGTTGAAACAATTAACTCGGCCAGCTGAATTAATTTAACGGCCACGTGTTCAAACCGTCATCCCGTAGGCAACCGATTTTGACGGAATTAGCTTGGTGATGGATGGAGTGCAACTTTATTAAGTTCAGTGAGTGATGGGATGCAACTTAAAGTTCAGTTAGTAAAACATGACACTGTGTAAAGTTCAGTGACCGTTGAAAAAATTAACTCCCCTCTTCTGTGTCCTAGTTGAGTTTCCAAGTGTCGTGATAAGTTTTTATATGCTTGATCTTGACAATGTCTATTTTTCAGTTTATGCCTGTAGTTGTATTATCATCTTGGTCCCATTAAGTTTCTGAGTAATGTTATAATTTATGATTGACTTAGATGAGTTGTGGTAATTTGAGAATGACGTGTCCTGATTTGAGTCCAAGTTGGAGTAGATATCCTAGAGCATATTTATCTTACATGTACTCTGTCGAATTTATAAAACCAGTCCGAGAAATTTCCAGTAGCTTCTTCAAGCCATTTGAAATTGTGAGATGAAATCATTAAACTTTTGTTAAATGAAGTCAAATTTCATTAAAAGAAAAAAGTATAAAAGAGCTTACAAGAAGAAAAAATTGACACCTATCCAAACTATGTGAAAATCCATATGCTTTCCATACAAGAGGAGGCAGTTATTAACAATGCTTAATCTTATTAAGCAGCGTTTCCTAGTTTCTTCAACTTCTACTCTTTCTTAGTCCTCGTGCTTCAGCTAATTGCATCTACCTGGTGTGATGTCGTTTTCATTTCAAAATCCTGATCTACTAACCCAACCCATTCTATTTTCCCAACAAAAGAAAATTAAGGACGTATTTAGACCTTAAACCTCAACGTAATTATTCACACATTTTTCTCATCAAACTGATCTGTCCCCGAACAGTTAAATAGGCTAACTCTTCCGTTCAAGAATCTACAACCTACTTGACTGGAGAATATTCATAGGTCCAGAAACTCCCCCCGAGTAATAAAATGAAAACAAGAAGTGACTAGTTATACCTGATTTGGCAGTTGACAAAGCGAAGACAAATAGAGAGAGAAAACCGAATAATTGAATTTGACTAACCACTATTAGTACAGAGAGCAAGAAAATTTTGTATGCCGACCAACTAAAGTCCCATGGTACTTTATTCATCAGTTATTGTCATTTGCTACCGCTTCCATTACAAATCTCATTAAAGATATAGCTTTATCATTTGACGACAGAAAACGACCTGTTACTACTCCACTATACTTGAATTTAATAGACAATTTTAAAAAATTCAGGAACCACAGGGCAATCTGTCAAATGTGAAAAGCAAGAAAGTATACCTCTCTATCGAGTAGGATAAGTGTATTTATTTCTGGAATTCCCATCTGTGGTAGAAAACATAAACACCACAAACAATAAGAAATGATAATGGAAATTCACAAATCTAATGCGATTCTGTGTCTTAAGTGATAAATATTACATCTGAAGTAACAGGTTCTTCAGCTTGCATTCGGTTTAAAATGTCAGCAACGCGTGTAGATGCTTTTCCTTTGGCCCTCACATTTGGTATCGTCCCGAAAGAAAACTACATCATCGGCCAACTAGAACCATCAAGACAAGGAAACGGAAGAAAAAAGAAAATAACAAAGACTGAAACCCAGAAATATAATTAGATTCCTGACTCCTGATCGTACATATATACTATAATAAATGGCAATGACATTGGATGAAACTCAAAAATTGTTAGAAAGTTTCTACCAAGATTAACAAGATCATGGCTGGAAATGATCCTATACCTCAAGCTTGTGAATGGATTTTGCTATATGCCACAGAGAGGTTGTGTCTCCATTGACCACGCATTCCTGTAAGAAAAATATTCCTAGTATTAGATACAACTATCTTAAGAACATAAAATTCACTGCTTTCCTTAGACTACATATTGAGCCAACATACTTTATGAGCAAGGTCGAGTTCAAATGATAATACATCCTCGTCCAGTGGAATCAAATACAACGGATACTCCCCAATAATCAACATCTCGTGAACTTTTTCATCCTCGAGTATCTGTAGACAACCAAAATAATACAAGCTTTTGAACTCTAGATAGCAAATTATTTCTTGCAGTCTGCAATTGTAGTGCAACATGAATCCTAACCTTCTCACATGCAACTGCACGTCGAGGAACAAAATATAGAAAATACTCTTTTTGAAGCCCTTTTAACGTATCGTTGTGAATTTGTGAGCAAATGAATTTCATCAAGTTGAGCTGAGCTCGAACGAGGTACACCATTTTGGTGCAGTCAGTCTCGACTGGCTCAGTTGTGAGATGCCGCAATTCAGCCCCATGTTCCTGATCATAAGAAACATAATCCCTTTAGACTGGCATCAACAAGAGTATCCAAATTAGCAACAGCAGCATCAATAGTACAACAGTACTAATAAAGTTACGAAAAGCTTCATCTCTTGTTTGCTTCAGCAGATTATTTTTTCTTCTCAGCATCAGTAATTAAATAAAATTATAGAAGTCCGCTAGAAATCAAATTACAGGATTTTCTGATTTTCCCAAACAAGAAGAGAACTACCCCATTAAAAATTCCCACTGCAGACCTACAGAAATTGTGACAGGAACACCATCCAACCTACAACCTTTTTTTTTTTACTTTACTATTTTAGAAAATGCAACAGAAATAGATTTAGCAAAATCGAACAAATATGATAATAGAAAATGGAAGAATTACCTTCAGTTGTGAACTTTGGACAATGAGTGAGAGCGATCCACTAAGCTTCGGATCAATCACCAAACACTTCTTTCCCCGAATCTGTAAAGAAACCCAATTAAAATTTGAAAAATAACGAGTATACTAAAATATTACCAGAAAATCATTAAGAACGTGAAAATAATCAATTAAACTCACATTTTTCAGAATATTTATCTGCTTCTATTGAGATTGATCTCTAAATTTCAAGAATAACAAAATAAATTATTTGCTGAAGTAAGACATTCAAATTGCTAAAGAAGTTTTACTTAAATTCGAGAAATTTACCGTGTGGTAGTGAGATTGATAGGTGCGTTGTCTAAATTAGGGACCTGTGCCATTTTGCTTCCTCCCGCTCTCTGAAGTCTCTTCTTTCCTGGTGATTATGTGTTCGATGAAGGTGACTTTTCGCCAGGACGGGCTACGCATAAAAAGTTTTCCTACATAAAAATTAACAATTTTTTTCAAAATTGTGGAAATTAACAAAGTAAATTATTCTCGCGGGGGCGGAGTATAATTTTTTTTTTTAGAGCATGTTTGACTAGACTTAAAATTCAATTAAAATTGAAAATTCGTCTAGTAAAAGTCAACAATAATGATTAATTTTTCAATTTTGATTCGATTTTAATATCTACCGAACACGCCCTTAATATAACTTTCTAATTAAAAGTGAAATATTAACCTATCTAAGCCGGAAAAAAAATTATTATTAATCGGAGAATTTGTGTAGAAAAATACAGAGGCGAGGTCGATACTCGAAGAGTTTGATTTATAAATAAAAATAAATGAGATGAATAAATGGATAGCACTTGTGTCATCATTAAAAATATTTATAAACAACCAAATCATTTTTTTATCCACATACTTTACAAGATTTACAAGTATAACATTTAAACTACTTGTACAATGAATTTGCACAATGATTTTGACAATGTGTGAGGTGTATAGATCATTGCCATTAAATTCAAAAACAATCTTTCAAATCAATGAACATAATGTCTGCCAATTCACACATTGTCAAATTTATTGTCAAATTCATTGTACAAGTAATATAGTTCATAACTAAATATAACACATTTTAGTTAGAACGGTTTTGATCTATTTTCAAATCAAACAATTTTAAACTGTTTTGGGAAATAACAAACTAAACCCAATATTTTCATTTTTCACTTATGTTAAACTAAACATGGGACACAACTCCATTTTAGCATTTAGGAACACAATACCCTATGCCATTGTTTGGATTTCGTGAAAATACATTTTTCTCTATTATTTTTTAACTACAAATTCTTAAATAAAATAATATTACACGTAAATAATAAAAATTATTTTTTAATCATACATTCTCAAAAAAATTACAATTTCAAAATACATTTTTCTCCAAAATTTAATGGAAACTAAACATTGGCTATAAGTTGGAAGTGACATAAATTTTAAAAAGTGACAAATTGTATAAAATCAAAATTGTAAAGATTCGAGTTACTTGACAAAATACGCCTAAAGTAACAACAAAGTCCAAGCAAGAATTCTACTCAATATAGAATGCCGTATAATCACCAATAAATCATACTATTAAACAATACTATATTCATCTGTCGATCCATAAGCAAACCTCAAAAGAATGTTCGGGACTCATAATTTCTCTAGGGTTATGTTTTTTAATAGGATTGGACATTTTAACCGAAACTTGAGGTTTCGATTGGGTTCCAGAAAAATAAATTAGAAATCGAAATCGATAGTTGGCTCTCAGTTATTGAACCATAACCATAGGCATCTGAATGGATAAGATTTTTTATATATTTTTTTATTTTTTACAATTTATAGACTCAGTACAAAAAAATATAAAATCTAAAAACTCTAATTTGGATAGTATTTTGTATAAAACTCTATGATCTAACCATAAAAAATCAATACTTGTTCCTACTTTTCTTGCCCCTCACCTCACGTCAAATTGTTTTATTTAAAATAACGGTACATGTTAATTTTTGCAATTTGGGCTTTCCATGAATCAAAAAGTTCAAACTAGGGTTGAAATGTGAGTTGATGAATCAAGATGTTCGTCTTTGTAATTTTGACATTTTATTTTACCGCATTGTTTACAAATTTAAGCGATTTTTTTTTTTAATTTTTTTATAACTAGCTTGGTTTGTTGAATTTTTATTTTATTTTTTTGTTATTTCAATTTCGTGATTCTTTTTTGAAATATTTTTTTTTTCCTTTTTTATTCAAATAGAGTGAATTCAATATGTGAATTGCAATTTTTTGATACTATACAGTTATGTTATACATCTAATTAATATGTTCTATGTTAATTCGTTTTATAAGTAAAAGAATTAAACGTTTTGCATAATTGAATTTTAGGTTTTAGGATGCATTACTTATGGATCAAATAAGATTTATTAGAAAAATAATTTGTTCTCGAACTGCAGTTTAATTTTTGCTGTTTTAATTTATTCGTCGCATAAGTCTCAATTATTTTAAGTAGCTATTCTCTTCGCATCTTGAAGATTTATTATCTGAATTTTCTCCATTGCAAAAATACTCTCGAATAGTGATGTATTAGGTATATGTATAAAAAAGGCATGCAGGGAAATATTTATTAAATATGTATAAAAGAATATTATGGGTATATCCTAATTTGAACTGGAACTGACTGTTTCAGTTCGATTTCGAGTTCAAGTTTGATTCCAATAATACCAAGGACTTGAACAATTCTATTTACAAAAGACCCGAAATATAATGAATAGTTTCGAGTATTGAAATACCCGAATCGACCTACCCAAAGCCCACATCTACTTTTGAGTCATTATTCCCTTTCTAGTTATGGTGAACACAGTTCGATTTGAACGATTTGAAATAATTTTTCAAACCTAACCACTTAAAACAATTTGAAATTTTTTGAGACCAAACCAATCCAAACCACTTTTTTCGATTTTGTTTGGTCTAAAACCACAGTTTAACAAAAAAAATTCATATATAAATTTAATCATAAATATTAGTCTAAAATTTCACTTTACAATACAAATGATACACATTAAAAATATTACAAATCAAAGTTCTATAGTTCATTAATTCTAATCATTATAATGCAACAACTTAATAGAAACATTTTAGTCAATACTAATTGGCGCAATATCTACAATTGTAACACATAATTCATTTTTTCATAAAGATAAGAATATAGTATATGAATTCATTTATTGTAGTTAAATGATATAAAATAACTAATAATAGAGAATGAATAGAAATATCGAATACGATAATAACTTGTATAACTTTTTTGTCAACCTTCCAATGCTTCTACCTCATCCAAATATTAACGATTCATTATTGATTCCTAGTTTCTATGCAACTAATTTTTAGAGCAAATTATTGTCTATGACTATATTTGCACTCAACGAACTTCTACAAAAATAAAAAATCCGACCACTAGTAGCGAATGCAAACCCAGAAATAAGTATAGATATTGAATAGCTAACACATCTTTAGCAATTTGGGGGATAATCTTGTACTTATTTACATTCAATTTTCACAAAAAAGCAATACTTCGAAAAGCTTATTGATCGAATCTTGAAAATGATCATTTAAGCATTAATCCACCAAATCACTCCAGCAATTAACAGTAAAAATCTAAAAACTAAGTTAAAATGTAAACAATTAATTGAATGACCTGACCTGAAAATTGAGATGCAAATAAAAAAAATGTCAGCTAAAAATTTAAGGGAGCCCGACACAAATTAGAACAAAACAAAAACACTATCAATAAAATATAGCAAACAATTACCAAAAAATTAGAAATTTTGGATAATTTGACTTGAAATTTTTTGGCAAATTTCGAGAAAATTATTAGTATAAGAAAAAGAAATGTATAAATTTGATTAGAATCTAGACTTAATTATCTACCTAATCATAATGAACGATCGATGAATATGATTTAGCAATAATTGTTCTAAAACATTACCCGATTTGAGGGTTTTACATTTGATGACTGATGTGTATTCGTGTATGATTTAATTAATTAATTATTCAGTTAGGGATGGATAATCGTCTATTAGTTATCGAGTTTAATTGTGTTATGTCTAATATTCATATATCTTTTTAATTAGGATGTGTTTAGTTTAGATAAAATTTCGATTGATTTATTTTCAATTTTTATTTTTAAAAATTATTTGGCGATTTGAGATAAATTTCAAATGTTGAAATCTAAATCAAATCACTTTGAATCGATTTAGCGATTTCGTTGTTCAATTCTATTTTTGATATCCCAAAAACACTTTCTTACCCTAAACGTAGAAATTAAATTAGCCAAACTTAAACATCCAAATTCACGGATATTACTCATTAACAATACAAAGAAAAACTAAAAAAATTCGAAATATTCGTATTTCCCACCATTGAGGAACCGAAAATTAATTAAGCACATAGACAATCCCTTAAATTTATAATTACAAAGTCACTGGAAAAGATGCTTGCGAGTCAGCGTGCGCATTATATTAAGGTAATAACAACAAAATCAAGAATTTACAACTATGAATAGGTAATTATATTACTACTACGAGTTTTATTAAGCGAACCACATTTTTTAGTATTTTTCTAATTTACTTAAAAACTTTGAGTAAAATTACATAATTAGTATTTAATAAAATAAATTATTGTTCCACCTCAATATAAACCTAATTTTTTTTATTATTTAATTTTTTGTATAGTTGCGAGTCTTCTGCCTTCACGATACCACACAAAGAGGCCTTAGTGATCCTTAGATGTTTAGGTCTTCAAGAGACATATTCAAATAGTAAATTTTGTGGTGATAATATAGTTATTTATATGTATAAAGTAGCTGCAATTTTATATTTCAAAACAAAGGTGAATTTACCAAATGGCCATAAAGGTATCGTATATGGATACATAGGGACATATTTTTTACCAATCATGTTACATGTACATCTTTTTTTACATCATTTTTGATATTGTACTACGTGGTGATACATGATTTAATTTTATTTTTTTTTCAAAAAACACAATTTTCCGCCCAACATTTCTTGAACTCCCACACAATGTACACAAAAATGTCACCCATACAATCTATATTTAGCATTATTCATTTTTTATAGCCCGTGTACAATTTCAATACACAAAGTGACATAAGTGCGTAAAACTCCAACAAACAACCACGGAATTTACAAACATAAAACGGTACACATTATATGAACATAAATAGTAACATATTAAGAACAATATGCCCATGTTTGACAATTATTATTTCAAAATTTTTTAATTTTCGGATCTATTTTTAACTACACTTTTACACGATAAAATACTTGACAAATATATTCAAAAATTT